CCCACCTCACCACCAATTTGGATCACTTGTTGTTCCCTTGACAAAGCACATTTTAAAAAGAATTGTGAACTGTGTGAAAATTTATTGGTTTTCCATTCCACTATTAATAAATATTTTGTTTTGTTACACTATAATTCCCACAAGCCAAAAGTTCTCTTCCCACTTCCTCCCTGGGTTTACCATTTCCCTTTGCCTCTTTTCTATCCTTTCCTGCATTCGGAGCTGTATTCCTGGGCAAATGCTGCCCTTTGAGCTCAGAGGGTTGATTGTTTATGAATGAGTGTGTACCTCCCTGGTGTTCCTGTTCATGTTGTAGGCATGTTGTGCAGTTGAGCCGTGGGCATGAGCTCAGTTCCAGGTTTGAAGAGTGTCTGAAGGCCATAGTCACAATCAGACCAATACACCTGGCCTGTTTTAAGTTTTGTTCCATCCCCCAACCCCACTTCTTCCCAAGACCTCCTGTTGTGATTTCTTTCAGATCAGTTGGTATGACAGCTGGTTAACATCTGGTTCCCTGGTCTCAGGCCCATAGAGGCTGAGGTTCATAGAGTCCTTTGGTCCTTTGGGCTCATTGGTTCCTTGTGCCTTTGCTTTCTTTTGCTCCAGATAGGAGAAACCAATAATTTTCACCGTAGATGGCATTCACAACTTTTACAACCCCAGTTGTAACTGTAAGTAGGATATAGAACATTGTCTTTGTGGGCCATGTTGTAGCAGTTGACTTTAGTGTTCCCGTGACTATGGTCCTGAGCCCTCCAGGCTAAGATTCTTATTCCCTGAAGGCTATGAACTTTTCTTAACTTTGTTCCGTGTATGTCGTACTATATTCATAGATAAATGTGTAGTACATATAAATACATATGACAAAATTTCTTCTGTCAAATTTATTCGTGGATATAATAGCCCCTTCTCTTTCCCACCCCTGTTCAGATCGAGTATCAATGTATCCACTCATAGATTATTATGATTACTGTTATGCAGAATTATGTACAGAATGCACAATATTGCATTTACCTTTGCTGTTTATAACTCTTGTGCTCTTCCCAGTGTCTTCCTTATCCTTGATCATTTTGTGCTGAGCCCCTCCCCTCTTTGTTGTAGATTGATTGCCTTTGCTTCATCCAAAGTTAATACATGTCTACCCTCTACTTACTGATTTTCCCTCCCCTCTTCTTCCACCCCTAGTGAAAATCTTTTCACAAAGGGCATTTTTTAAAGCCTTATCAACACATGGGGCTACCATGAGTCAACTGTCTCCACAGCAGCAGGTGTGGGTTAATCACCATGTGCCTGTCAAACTGTTCGTTCTCCATCATCAGCATCTTTAATGTACTTTAGAGATACTGCTTGTGATAAAATTAAATACACTAATGATAGTAAGTCAAAATATGGTAAAGGTGAATCTTTAGTACTTTTAATATCATTAAAACAAATAAAATGAAAAGAAAAAGTTAACTTCAATAAATGATAATCACTTGAACTCGCTGCCACTGAGCCACAATAATTCAAGGTGAAATATTCTGGCAAAAGTAATTACTTTCAAAGAGTTTGATGTGGTTTATTGTCATAAAGTGTGGTTATTTTAAGTAAGTCTTAAAAACAAAACCCACTATCAACTAGGAATGGTTGATAAAAGGCTTCAATTCTGGATAAAAGAAACTCAAATTCTGGATAAAAGGCTTCCTATTAAGAAATAAGATAGAGGAGGAAATATCAGTCAAATCCAAAGGCTGATATGTCTCTTAAATTTTCTTACATGGCTGTACAATGTGGCTCTTAAGAGAACTAGGGTGCAAGAGAATAAGGTATCCTACTACAAATATCAAACAGGAAAATCCTAAAGAATATCACTTTACATTGATAAATTTTCACAATCTTCTTACTAAGAGTATCTTTAAATCTGTTAGAAGCTATCACTTATTCAATAGAATAGAAAATTCAACTGGAAATGGAGATAGTAGGTTTTGTGTCAACTTGGCTGGGCCAGAATTCTCAGCAGTTTAGTAATAAACGTAAATACTAGAGTATAAGCCAACCCAAATATTGAATATCCACAGAGGCACCTAATTTTACCACAAAAACGGCATTAAAAATGTGCTGAAAAACCTCAGCTTATACTCGAGTATATATAGTAATTCCCCATGATGTGGACCTAACATAATGTAATCAACTCCATGATAGGATCTGCCTGTCGTAAGCAGCCAAGCAGTTGAGAGAAGATTAGAGTTGGAATGCCACAGCCCTAATGAAATTGGAAGGAAGGTTCCTAGTGGTGTGGGCTACTTCCTAAATACGTTGATGTGCTAGGGAAGCATCTTGAATCAATGGTCTACCATATTGCCTGCCATCTGACTTGCCATCCTTAGATGACCTTGGATGCATTATCCTCTGCGTCCACCAGCCTATGGTCTTGGTCTTTTTGTTTATCGGCTCTCACAGCCATGTGAGTCAGGAGAACCTCCAGCTTAGTATTTTATAAACAGCTTTGATCCAGTCTGGACTTACCTACTTCTACAATGGAGTGAGCCATTTTCTTGATGTAAATTTATTTTTTCTCTATCTTTTTAATCTACCTACCCATATACCTATCTGTTACTGGTTTTGCTTCTCTAGAGAACCCAGTCTAACACAGAAAGTAGCTTTTTATCTTAAAAAATTTTTTCTCCTAACTTTATTAGATTTTCTTTCCTCTAGAGCAGTGGTTCTCAACCTCCCTAATGCCGTGACTGTTTAATACAGTTCCTCATGTTGTGGTGACCCCAAACCTTAAAATTATTTTCGTTGCTACTTCATAACTGTAATTTTACTACTATTATGAATCGGGCGACCTGTGAAAGGGTTGTTCGACCCCCAAAGAGGTTGCGACCCATAAGTTGAGAACCGCTGCTCTCTAGAATAAAGAGGAGCAGAGAAAAAAAACAACTATGGAAATACCCAGTTGACAATAAAGCATTGATTGCTACTTTATCTGGAGCGGAAGAGAGAGAAACTAAGATCTTAAAGATGAAATGAAGACTAACTGCCTACATGACTCCTGGCCTCATCGATCCTGGAATCAGACAGCCTACATGATTATTTCACCAAACACACAGCAGGTAGTTCCTGATAGAATGGGAGAAATTGTAGATGCAAACTCTGATTCCTGAAAACAAGAAAAGGGCAGACTTGCTGTGGAGAACAGAGGAATCCGAGACATCCTTTAAATTTTGAACTGAAAGTGCTCCTGGAGGTCATCTTTCAGCTAAATAACGGACTGGTTCATAAAATTAATAATATCACCCCTAAGAATTAGGCTTCTTAAAAAAAATCTCTGTGAAACCAAATGGTCAACATTTATCCTAAAGCAAAGATGAGCAGGTTTAGGGGTGGGGTGCTCAGGAGTTGGATTGATGGAAGTAGCTCCATCGTAACAGAAGTAACAGATGGTGAAACTTTAACGAACTGAACAGTATGTATAAAAGTTATTAACTATGAATCCAATTTTCCATGTAAACTTTCAATGAAAATGCAATAAATTATTATTTTATTAAAAAAATAAGGCTGGTTGCCTGGTAGGTTTAAAAAATAATCTCTCAGAATAGTATAAATTTATAGCTAGTATAATCTTGACAAGTATTTTTAAATTACCTCTAATTTCTTGGAACAAGGCCCACTAACAAGTGCAGTCACACCACTGTCAGATACCTAAGCAAGAAGAGAGAGAGCACGTCAGTGGAGATGAGGGCAGCAGATTGTTCTGAGAATTAGAAATCATTAGTTAGTTATATTGTCCCCAAGGAGCAAACAGGCTTTTAACTAAATAACTAAACATAATGCTCACTTTTGTTACTGAAAATAATCGAGGGGAATGTGTTAAACTGTATTGCAATTATTTAACCATCAAAGCACAAAGTCAACAGTTTTTCTCCCCCAATTGCCATTAAGTTTATTCCAACTCATGGAGGCCTTGGGGTAGCGTGAACTCCCAACCTCTCCCCACCAAACCATTTTGTTATGAGCTACTCAGGACATCACGCCATTCCATAATTCAAACATATCACACAGTATTATACAATTGCTAATAAAATCAATTTCAAAACATTTTCTTCCTTCTTAAGCTTCTTGATGGCGGCTTCTCTTATCCCACCAGTTCTCGCCATCATGCCCCAAGGAACCCTTATTCCAGTTGTTCTTTGTAGAATCACTTATTCTGGGTTTCCAGTAACAAAACAAAACATAGACGAACCCATAACAAAGATTCAAGGAGACTATCAACAATGAGAAATATAACAAAGATAAACCCCACTATGAAAAAATACAAATGATATTAAAAACCAGATCAAGCACCAAGTGCATCAGAGGGGAAGTCACATGACAAGATTTTAACCATTCAAGTTAGATTCATTATTTTAATCTATAGTTGTCTCTCCAATACTCCCCGTCAGACAACCAAGTTATTCCCATCCTTCATTTATGGTTAGAGGGTAATCACTGGAGGCTTATTTCTTGTATAGATCTTGCAAATGGGTTTTGCACTTCCACTGTTATCCACAGCCTTCTGCATACTAGAATCCCACAATTTAAGCACTGATACTATTCATTCCTTCAGATTTAGATTTTATTATTTATAATCCTTGGATCTCAGATGTTGATGAGTATCTTTTTGTTTTGTTTTAAATTAAAAAAAATTTATTGGGGGCTCTTACAGCTCTTATCACAATCCATACATATATCCACTATGTCAAGCACATCTGTATATATGTTGCCATCATCTTTTTCAAAACATTTTCTTTCTTTTTGAGCCCTCGGTATCGGCTCATTTTTTCCCCCTCCCTCTTCCATGAACCCTTGATCATTTATAAATTATTTTTTCCCATGGCTTACACTGACTGCTGTCTCCCTTCACCCATTTTTTTGTTGTCCATCCCCTGGGAAGGGGCTAAACGTTGATTATTGTGATCACTTTCCCCTGACTCCTCCTCCCCCTTCCCGTTCCTTTCCTAGTATTGCTACTCCCCTTATCGGTCCTGAGGGGTTTATCTGTCTTGGATTCCCTGTGTTGCAAGCTCTTATCCATACCAGTGTATGTGTTCTGGTCTAGTCAGATTTGTAAGGTAGAATTGGGATCATGATAGTTGGAAGAAGGGAAGAGGAAGCATTAAAGAACAATTTTATTAACAATAAAACATTCATCGTGCCATGGGAATACACTGGGAAAACACACAGTCTGTATGTTTAAAGTCTATATTTACCTGTGTAGCTGAAAAGTCAACACACTGCAAAGAGAGGCAGTTTTCTCCTAATGCATGTAAGGACACATCCGTAATACCTAAGCAGCCACTTAAATCAATGACCTTTAGTAGCCGGCAATTGAGTGCAAGAGCAAGGACTCCATCATCAGTGAGATTGCAGCATCTTTTCAAAAAAGCTTCATGCAGGTATAAACACGATGAAGCCACAGCTTTTATTCCTGAGGGGAGGGGACACACAGAATTATATATTGATGAGATATGCATGTACATAAGGAATGCCACTGTTTCTCATTTTAGCCAGCACCAGTACTAACTCATCCAATTGTATCTATAGTAGCTTCTTCCATTGCTAATTGTCAATGATTTTCTCTTGATGCTGTCATTCTTTAAAACTTTTCTGGAATTTTTCAAGAATTCTCTCTACAACTTGTGGTTTATTCTTCAGAATATCTGCAATTTATGGAAAGTCAATTCAGAACCAAATTTGATAACTAAACAGTAGGTGGTTCTCTTTTGGTTGAGTGAAAGTTCTCAACTGGTAAAGTTAATTTTCTTGGCTACTGTGGAGGGAAATAAAAGGTTAAATTGCCCAAATGTTTTAAGCAATGGTCTTCATGGTTATAAATGATATCTATTCTTCTGTAAGCTCTCTTTCCTCTTTGACTCTGTCCTCTACACCCGAGGTCCTTTCTATCACCATGCTGCTTCCCTATTGGCCTGGGCCAATCTTTCCTTTTTATTAAGCCACAAGAAAAGAGAAGTCTTTGAATCCAATGGATATAAATGTACATGGGAGACTGGAATGTAACACTATGTTCTGAAAATAAGGTATTTCAGGGCTCTTGGGCCCTTCAGTCATGAATAAACATTATAGCACTATTTATAGATAGATAACTTTATGGGGAAATACACAAAAAGGAAGATAGTAAATTCCTGAGTAGTCTATAGTATTGTTTTCTATATCAAGAAAGAACTTATTCACTAGAGTCTGGATTGGAAGTCCTTTTTAGTCATTACTTATGTAAGCATAAAACAATTTTATACCTCTTTGCTACGCTATAAAGTCCTAACTTGCCAGCCAGGATGAATGCAAAATATAAAGTAACTACACTTAAACCTTTTCCAGAAACCTAATTAATTAGATAACTTCTCTTAATAATTAATAAGAGGAATATCTGTATTTAAAGAAATGGTTATCATCCACTATTCCATATAAAGTAACAGCAAAAAAATTAGTTTGTATATTTAGGCATAGTACCAACTGATAAGAAAGTACCTTATAAACTTAATCTGACATAACCAATTCTCTGCTGTTTATTGCATCTAAAATGCCTTAAAGTGTGCACTGGTCATCTTGCTCTACTACACTAGTTAAAATAAACATGGATAGATTCCTCAATATTTTAAATGTATTTAAAATGAAAAATAGTGACTTACCCAATGTATTTCTAAACTTTCAGCACTGATGATACAAATTAAGCAAGAATTCTAATTTTATTTTAGTCTGAATATTTATTGATAAATATAACATTCTATTTCTTTCACATTTTCATATTCCTTTGGAATATTTCTTCTTTGCTCCAAAATTATACTGGATGGTGGCTAGGCTATGATTCTCAATAGTTTAGCACTGTACTGGGTATTATAATACATAATGTAATGTAATATATAATTTTAAAAAGCAGACTCACTGCTATCTAGTCAATGCCAACTCATAATGACCCTCGGGCAGAGTAGCGCTGTCCCTGTGGGTTTCCAAGGCAGTATCTCTTTGAGGGAGCAGAAAGCCCCATCTTTCTCCTGAGGAGCGGCTGGTGGTTTCGAACTGCTAATGTTCTGGTTTGCAGCCCACTATGCCACAATGTAATATATAATAATATAATATAGTTATGTAACAGTGCAATTAATATAATAACTTCCCATAATTTGATCTGAACTTATTAGCCAAGTAGTTGATAGTTATGCCCTGCCTCCAGCATATAAATGGATGTTTTGGCAAAGCATGTGTGTCGGTGTGTGTGCCTGTGTGTATGTGTGTACCCTCTCTCTCTTTCTCTTCCAATCCTGACCTGATTCTTTGGTCACTTGACCTATGTTCTTTAGATGTAAGCCTGTACCTGACCTGTGGACTTCGGATTGGCCAAAATCTGCAACTTTGTGTCCCAGCAGAGGCCTCTAGTTTGCCGCCTGACTCGTGGATTTGACATTTGCCAGTGAACTATTTTCTTGAAGTAAAGCTCTCTTTATATGAGGGAGCATCAAAAAATTCACGGCAAGACAAAATTACAACAAATGCAAATTTTCCCACAAACTTTTTGAAGCCTCCCTGTGTATTCATGTATTTTTCATGGATTTCATTCCTTTAGAGAACCTAGACTAAGACACATACCTTTTGATGTTATAGAAAGTCTGTCTTCTTTTGAAGAATTTAAATTTAATTCCTTTAGTTTTCTGCAGTTACTCAGGTGCTGGAGAGCAGTATCTGAAATATCACAGCTCTGTAGATCTAGAATTTGAACTTCAGGATGTAAAATCTGTAATAAATGGGATTTGAAAAATTAAGTTTTTCTATAAATACCAATGATTATTAAAAATTAAATTTTTGCTATTTCCTGCTGATCACCAGCTTTGAACCAAGTGACTGATGGAAAATATGTCAAAAATACAAGTTTATTAAGCTGAAAAAATACATGAAGCTGGACAAAACCATGCCTACCTCCAGCTGGAGGCACAGCCTTCAATGCCTCCCAAATCCCATTTGTAACCCACAACACTGTGGAGACAGCTGCTGCCAAATAAAGACCCACTAGACCTGGGAAGCATAAATAAGACAGTGGGTGCTTACTCTCTTTAGTTAGTTCCTGTCAATATTCTATTTTTGTGTCTCTTGGCTCTGCAGGTATGAGTCTTTAATTACAAATATATCAAATACTAATAGAGTGAGCATCATCTTTCTTCATATACCCTGAAGAATATAAAATATGTCTATTCTTCATCTTAAACATAACCAAATACCTCCAAGGAATGATTCACTGGGCCTAGGGACTTAGGACCTAATCTTGGAGTACACTAAAGTAAGCCGGCATAACCTAGTCCACAAAGACAGTACTATACTAAAATGTACATTGGGGAGCTGCAGTTGAGGTCTTAAAAGCATGTGTACATCTATAAAAGATAGGTACATCTATAGTTCTTTCCCCATCCACAACAAAGAAGATGACAGGAAACTGAAATGTATGGAAATAATTAGTTCAACAGCCAATGGGCCATGCAAACCTCAGCTTTCCATGCCCATAAAACTAGAAAAACTACATGGTATCTAGCTACCTACTACTGCTGACCACTCTGAAAAAGATCAAAGTAGAAGGGCCTGAATAGAGTGGGAGAAAAATGTGGAACACGATTTAAGTCATAAAAAAGGCCAGGTTTACTGGTGAGAAAAGAAACACACACATATATGATATATATGGTATGTATATATTTATATATATATAATCTCACTCTGGACTAGTTGCGTTTTAAGTGCTCATTTACTACCCTTGGCTAGTAGCTACATATTGGTAAGGGAAACCTAGGTCTTTAGTGTAAATGAATCTGAAGTACTGGCTTTGCTTGGTCTGTTCCTTACTATGACTTTTGGCACGTATCTTCAATTTTAAGGTATCCTTGACTCTCAGATACATTTTCAATTCAATAGCAGGCTTTAAAGTTTGAACTGTATAATTAAAGGCATCCTTTAATTGTAAAGTGCATGTCAATATCAAAATTTTGTCTCTATTGTAATGCATGGAACCAAATAAAGAAATGCCATGCAGTCTTCTTTTAAAAAGAAAATAACAAACTAATATTACCCCCAAGACCATGGACCTTAATCACTTTTCAGGCCTGCAACAGAACTCACCCTCATGGCTCAGTTATCAGCTGCACAATATACAAGTCTATAAGGTGAACAGTAATGCGAAGGAGGTACACACTCCTTAGAATAAGCAACCATTTGAGATAAAAAAAAAAAGAGCAGCAATGACCCGGTGGCAAAGTTCAGAAGGCAGGAAGGCATCAGGAATAAGGAGAAATCAAAATCGGAAAAACAGAGAAGAGTGGAGTAAGTGGCATTAACTTGTAGGAATTGTAATCAATTATATGAAACAAGATGTGAATGAATGATTAAATGGAAAACTGTAAACTTTCACCCAATTCCAAATTAAAAGTAAAAATAAAAGATTTACATTCTTCATTCTTATTTGGGGGAGCTAATATGAACAAACCCAGAATTATTGAGTGTTTGCTTGAGACCAAGCATTTTGAGTTTTAGGCCATTTTTTTAAAAAGATCCTTCTTAAACTCACTTCTTGGCAGTATTTTTCTTTCTTTTTCTTTTAAAAAAAATCATTTTATTGGGGGCTCTTACATCTCTTATCACAATCCATCCATCCATCCATTGTGTCAAACACTTTTTTTTAAAATTTCTTAAATTTTTTTATTAGGGGCTCATACAACTCTTATCACAATCCATACATACGTCAATTGTGTAAAGCACATTTGTACATTCATTGCCCTCATCATTCTTAAAAC